GCGACAGAAGCTGGCTTTGGGGACGTGGAACGTCACCTCTCTGGGGGGGAAGGAGCCGGAGCTTGTGCGGGAGGTGGAGCGTTACCAGTTGGATCTGGTTGGGCTCACCTCTACGCACAGCGTCGGTTCTGGAACCTTACTTCTGGATAGGGGTTGGACTCTATTCTTCTCCGGAGTTGCTCAAGGTGTGAGGCACCGGGCGGGTGTGGGGATACTCACAAGTCCCCGGTTAGGTGCTTCGTTGTTGGAGTTTACCCCAGTGGACGAGAGGGTCGCCTCCCTACGCCTGCGGGTTATGGGGGGGAAAACTCTGACTGTTGTGTGTGCTTATGCACCCAACAGCAGTTCAGAGTATACGGCCTTCTTGGAGACCCTGGAAAGAGTCCTGTATGGGGCTCCTGAAGGGGACTCTTTAATCTTGCTGGGAGACTTCAACGCACATGTGGGCAATGATGGAGAGAGACACTTGGAGGGGCGTGATTGGGAGGAATCGGAGTGGTGGTTTTTTATTGGACTTCTGTGCTAGTCATGGATTGGCCATAACAAACACCATGTTCGAACATAAGGATGCTCATAAGTGTACGTGGTACCAGAGCACCCTAGGCAGAAGGTCCATGATCGATTTCGTTATCGTATCATCGGACCTGAGGCCGTATGTTTTGGACACTCGGGTAAAGAGAGGGGCAGAGTTGTCAACTGATCACCATCTGGTGGTGAGTTGGGTCGAGTGGCGGGGGAAGCCTCTGGATAGACCTGGTAAGCCCAAACGTGTAGTTCGGGTGAACTGGGAACGTCTGGAGGAGGCCCAAGTTCAGGAGGCCTTCAACTCACACCTCCGGCGTAGCTTTTCGGGCATTCCTGTGGAGGTTGGGGACATTGAACCAGAGTGGTCGGTGTTCAAAGCCTCTATTGCCGAAGCCGCGGCGGGGAGCTGTGGTCTCAAGGTCCTAGGTGCCTCAAGGGGCGGTAACCCTCGAACCTCCTGGTGGACACCGGTGGTCAGGGAAGCCGTCCGACTGAAGAAGGAGGCCTTCAGGGATTTGTTATCCCAGGGGACTCCCGAGGCAGTTGCAAGGTACCGACAGGCCCGAAGGGCAGCAGCCTCATCCGTGGCCGAGGCAAAGCAGCGGTTGTGGGGGAGAAGTTCGGAGAAGACATGGAGAAGGACTTTCGGGCGGCACCAAAGTTGTTCTGGAAAACTGTCCGACACCTCAGGAGGGGGAAGCAGGGAACCATCCAAGCTGTGTACAGTAAGGATGGGACGTTGTTGACCTCAACTGATGGAGTGTTAGGGCGTTGGAAGGAACACTTTGAGGAACTCCTGAACCCGACAACTCCGCCCTCTATGTTAGAGGCAGAGCTGGAGTATGACGGGGGATCAACACCAATCTCCCGGGGGGAGGTCACTGAGGTTGTCAAACAACTCCACAGTGGCAAAGCCCCGGGGGTGAATGAGATCCGCCCGGAAATGCTGAAGGCTCTGGTTGTTGAGGGACTGTCATGGTTGACACGTCTCATCAACGTTGCGTGGAAGTCGGAAACAGTACCGAAGGAGTGGCAGACCGGGGTGGTGGTTCCCCTTTTTAAAAAGGGCGATCAGAGGGTGTGTGCCAATTACAGAGGCATCACACTACTCAGCCTCCCCGGGAAAGTTTACTCTAAGGTACTCGAAAGGAGGATCAGGCCGATTGTCGAACCTCAGATTGAAGAGGAACAATGCGGATTCCGTCCTGGTCGTGGAACGACGGATCAGCTTTTTACTCTCGCAAGGATCCTGGAGGGGGCCTGGGAGTACGCTTATCCGGTCTACATGTGTTTTGTAGACTTGGAGAAGGCGTATGACCGAGTTCCCAGGGAGTTACTGTGGGAGGTGCGGCGGGAGTATGGGGTGAGGGGATCTCTACTCAGGGCCATCCAATCTCTGTACTCCCAAAGCGAGAGCTGTGTCCGAGTCCTCGGCAGTAAGTCAGACCCATTTCCGGTGAGGGTTGGCCTCCGCCAGGGCTGCGCTTTGTCATCAATCCTGTTTGTAATATACATGGATCGGATTTCGAGGCGTAGTCGTGGGGGTGGGGGTCTGCAGTTCAGTGGACTAAGGATTGCACCACTGCTTTTTGCAGATGATGTGGTTCTAATGGCTTCATCGGTCTGCGACCTTCAGCACTCACTGGATCGGTTCGCAACCGAGTGTGAAGCGGCTGGGATGAGGATCAGCACCTCCAAATCTGAGGCCATGGTTCTCAGCAGGAAACCGATGGACTGTCCACTCCAAGTAGGGAATGAGTCCTTACCCCAAGTGAAGGAGTTCAAGTGTCTCGGAGTCTTGTTCTCGAGTGAGGGAACAATGGAGCGTGAGATGGGCCGGAGAATCGGAGCAGCGGGAGCGGTACTGCAGTCGCTTTACCGCACCGTTGTGACGAAAAGGGAGCTGAGCCAGAAGGCAAAGCTCTCTGTCTACCGGGCCATTTTCGTTCCTACCCTCACCTATGGTCATGAAGGATGGGTCATGACCGAAAGAACGAGATTGCGGATACAAGCGGCCGAGATGGGTTTTCTCCGCAGAGTGGCTGGTGTCTCCCTTAGGGATAAGGTGAGAAGTTCGGTCATCAGGGAGGGACTCGGAGTTGAGCCGCTCCTCCTTCGCGTCGAAAGGAGCCAGTTGAGGTGGTTCGGGCACCTAGTTAGGATGCCACCTGGGCGCCTCCCTAGGGAGGTGTTCCAGGCACGTCCAGCTGGGAAGAGACCAAGGGGTAGACCTAGGACCAGGTGGAGGGATTATATCTCTTCGCTGGCCTGGGAGCGCCTTGGGATCCCCCAGTCAGAGCTGGTTGATGTCGCCAGGGAAAATAAAGTTTGGGGCTCTCTGCTGGAACTGCTACCCCCGCGACCCGACCACGGATAGCGGGAGAAGATGGATGGATGGATTGATGGTAATTGTGGTTAACTAACATTGCTGCATTTATTTGGTCAATTTAAACGGTAAGTAACGTTATTATGTCAGTTGCTGCGCGTTCGTCATCTGCAAGGTGCTTACACAGCAGTCAACGATGGACATCAGAAAATGGTTAAAACAACCAGCCCTTATCGCCAGCAGTAACACTGCATCTACTGCAGGTAATAACAGTTCAGATCATGGGGACATTACGTTACCCGCGGCCACTGTCGTGGACACTAACGTCCGACTCACCAGCTTTGCCCGCCTCGCCCACGGAGGCGGAGCAGCCACAGCCGTCTTCGTTGCCCCTCGGCGGCCCGCAAGTGCCAGAGGACCTCAGCAAAACAGAGCCTGCCCAGGTATATTTAAAAAAGTACCCAACTCGCCTTTACAGTGGGGTGAGGCACTCATTTTGCAGCTCATGGTTTCAAAACAGAGATTGGCTGGAATATTCATGTAAAAAATATGCCATCTTCTGCTATGCATGTAGACATTTCGGTCTTAAAAGGGGAGTGATTTGTAAAATATCCATAAAGATAAAGTAAATCTGTTTATAGTTCTGTTTCATATGGGTGTTGAGAGATGTATCCATAGATCTCTTCATTTTGCTCTCAAAGTGCACCAGATTGATGCTTTTAACTTCAATATTTAAAAAAAAAAATCTTCCCGGGGGAGCATGCCCTCGGACCCCTCTAGAGGAGGTGAGGACCCCCCTAGAGGGTGTTAGGTCCACTCCCCACTTATAAAAATAGCACTTTACCACTGCACCCTCTCTAATCTCAGATGCACCCTGAGTCATTTTGTTCTGGAACCGGGCCTGGAGAGGGCAGTTTGAAAAACAAATGGCCAGTCAACAGCTGAAGGTACACGGATTATTAATGAGCCAAATGTCAAACCTAAAATGAGAACTTTCACAAGAAGAGGAAGCGTATAAGGCTCTTGAAATCCAGATTAACACTCAAAAAGCACCAGGAATGGAAGCAGAAAAATATGTTGTCAAAGAGGAACTACAAGATATTAAATTGCAAGCTAAAACTCGAGGAAAGGGAAGACCGAAGGCTGTTACACGTACTGTAACGTTTCAAGAACCAGTAAAAAGTTAAAGTCAATCCAGGAGCAAACTGTTTTACAGACCGTAAAACTGACAGTGGAAAACACGATCATGCAAATAAGAGAAAGCAGAAATCTCTGGTGACTAAACAGAAATCTTCAGATAACGAGAAGCCAACGATTAAAGAGTCCAAAAAGCCACGCAGGAAAAGAGGATTGAGATCCCTCGGATGGAGAACATGGTGGCAAACAAGAAGAAAAGGGACTTGTCCGTATGCTTCGGATCAAGTCCAAGACTGGTTTCCTGAGCAGACCAATTAACAAAGTTAGCCTTCTTTAGGAGGCAGAGGACTTTTTCCAAGTCTAAACTGACTATTTGTTGTCTCCTACCCCCTGCACACACACAAATCACACTAAGCATTTTTACTGATACTGATTAGTGAGTAAAGATCACTTTTCCAAAAAGACTGCAATATATGAACTCTGAACAAAAATCATTCAAGAAAGAGATCTGGACGTATATTGTCATTTATTATAGTGTAATTATAATTTTGTGGAATGATAATTAGGGGCCAGTATTGTAGGTGCCATAATGCTACTTAGCCCAAGTTCATTATTTGTATTATTATTATTTGTTTACGTCACTTTTATTTGTTTGTTGAGCACTTCCGGTAATTGTCACATGGGTGTGGTTTGTCTATTTAAGTCACCTGTTTCATGTTGAGTGCGGATGGCAGAGGGTGAGCTTGTGCTGTCATTTTTTCTGTTGACCGTTTTGTCCATTTACTATGCTATGGTTTTGTTTATTAAATATCCCAAAAACTATCTTGCTTCACTATGGACTTTCTCTTCGAAAACGCGTCACAGTTTATAGCCAAGTTTAGCCTCTCGGTGACTCAAACATAACTGGGGATTGAGCCGCCACATGGGGTTTGTGCAGAAAGCCATTCTTGTGCATACTTTTTGCTAATATATTGTGGCAAATGAAAGAGAAAAATGATGAACAGACATCATGTGGGGGAAGACATTGCATATCTTTATTCTGCAGTTTCTAGAACAAAGCTTACATTTTTTTTAAATATTCCCTTACTTTGAAATATACAGATATTTTCACAAATGTTGGTGTTATATATTAATGTATAGAGAAATACATCTTGATACAAATATAACATAAAATATGACAGTAAAACTCTTGTCCGCTGCATGATTGAATAGAACAGACATTTCATCATTTCCTCTGGCTGCCAAACTATAAATGTACACTGCATTGCTTATTGCACTGTAACACTGTTATGTATTATGATAATGGATGCAGTTCAGATATGTTGTGCATGTGTCTTCTTCACATTGTGCTTCTAGGATCCCTCTGAGGGATTACAAATGTATGTTTGCGATATATCATCAACAGGAAGCTTTATTTAGAATGTGTTAGTGGTGGATTTTGCTGTCACGCTGTAGCCACATGTGCAGGCAGTTTGATAACACATGCTTTTGATCATCCCCCTATCATTGGGTTAGATCTCCCTTCAACTGTTGATGGAAACACAGTTTCAATGAAGATGTCCATGCACCTGTCACCATGAAGTTTTAATGAGGATTTTCATTCTAATGTGCTGCAGGTTCTTAGCCCCCCACTCACACCACCTTTGGTGTGCATCACTCCTGTTACTCTGTTATTGTGTGTGTGGTGTGCACCTGCACTCTTCTCAATGATCCTGTATATACATACAAACAGACCGATACTTCTAGTATATTTGTAACACAAACAGCATCATTTCTTTGCAAGGCATTAAAGCCAGTACCAGAATCTATTTAACCATGACCAACGATACACAGCTGCTTGTTTCCTTCCAGATGACAACAGCACCTCTCTTAGCTTACCCAAGTCGTTGTAAAACTCAAGTCATAATGTTTCACCACTAGAGAAAGTCAGTGTGTATTACTAGAGCACACAGTTGTGTTGTTTGTGAGTATGGCTACATTAATAGCTCTGTTATTCAGAATGACAGTGGTGAATTACAGTGGTGTGGTCCTATCGACTGTAAGACCAGGCTTAAGCCTGTAAGCAATATCTCAGTCTTGAACTCAATTGTATGCAGTTGATTTGCATCCATTCAGTCTGATATCAACAATATTAGCCACTCATTTTATTTGTAACTGAAGTCATTGACATTCAAATTCATTCAAAAATAATTTTAACTCAACAATTTTGCTGCACAGATCCTTTTTAACGTTCATAGGTATTTTGCTTTACGCATAGATTAATGTCAAACCCCGTCCATTGATTGAGGCTATGAGATTACATTTTCTTTTTAACAAAAATTCCACCTTGTGGTTGTCTCTTCGTGATATGGGTGCACCAATACAATGTGGTTCATTTCAGAAATCTGTGGGGCTCTTCATGCAATACATTTGGCCAGAACTGACACTTGTGTATTATATCAACTGATTTAACAACTCTATTAGGTTAGTTGAAAGTTCAATAACCAATATTAGGTTCAACTTAATATTATTGCTTTCAACTAACCTAATACAATTATGTGAAATCTGTTCAATATTACATTTAGTTAATGTCAACGTTTATAGATATCAACATTAAACGTTTGATAATATGACATTTCTGTATACATTATATATTAACATGGGCTAGCATCACGACAAGTACATCTCAAAGAAGGTGAGGTCAGTTCATTCATCTATCCACTAACCATGGTCCATGGCAGCAAACCACAACAACTAGGCCAGATTACAGACAGAATAATGTGTAGATGTTTTGGTTTCCTTCTTGAACTTCCCTTTTAGTGCCATAGTTGTGGAACCTACTGCTGCAGGTCTCCCTTGAAAAAGAGATAATTGATCTCAATGGGATTTTACCTGGATAAATAAAGGTTTTGAATTTGAATTTGAATTGTCTCATGGGAAGTACTATCTGACTTTCTCCTTTCTAGGCCTACAAGAAATGTCAAAACAATGGAGAGGTTTCATTTGGACACTGGCAATTTTCCTCTACTTGACACACATTCATGCTCCTGGTTGATGAACCCCTTTTAGTTTTAAGTCTTGCTTATCCAAAATAAGTAATTATTGCCAAACAACAGGATACATTTTGTCAAGCCATTTCAATAGGTAGCAGTAGGATAATTTGAATACATTTGAATAAGCCGGACGGAACGTGTTCTGCTTTAGCTGCTGTCACCCAGAGAGGCCAGTATGGAGATGGCCTGCGAGGCGAGTTTACTGTTGCTGTGCTCTGCCAGTTTACTGAGGCTCTCCTTCATATTCACAGAGTGCAGCTCCTCCTTCATCACACCTACAGCAGACAGGGGTGGAAGGGAGAGCAGAGGAATCAGTGTGAGATGGATTACAACTGGGAGTGTAGAAGGCCTCTCACGCTGACTTCGTTGCACCTGTGTGAGCACAACTTTTATCCACTGATTTCAGCATCATTATGACAGAATGTGCTCCTGGAGACACGGACCATAACTGGAAGTACCTGGAGTTATCCCATCTAAACATGGTCTCTGGTTTTACAGCGATTTTAAACATAGCTCTGCTCAGCTTGTGCAGAGGCTTTGACTGGAGACTTGTGTAACACATTCAGTCTTAATTAATGAAAAAAGGACAAGTTTTTATGATTTATGTTTGTTTTAGGCACTTTTCTTTTTCTAAAGCTTGTATCAATGACACATTTGTTTGGTACCTCTGCTGCAGTGGGCATTGGACAAACTGCAGTTTTAGAGCCTTGTGCTTGGGGATCACCTCTCGAGATTTATGGTTTCAGGGTATCTGTTTTAGCGTGCTTTACATTACATAAATTAGACATGGAATATAATGTAATAAAGCAATTTGGGGTGAAGTGTCTTGCCCAAGGACACATTGATATACTGGCCCCAGTGGGGGTCAATGTGGGATTGAACCGGTGCTTTCTTGCTCCCCTGATCTGAGGGTCACCCACTAACCCACTGCGCCATGGCCGCCACGCTTGGCTAAAGCAGAATCGTTTCCTAAAGTTATTCATAAATACCAGATGCTGGAGATGGTTTTGGTAGTTTTATTGGCTCCTGCTAGATTCAAAGGTTTATTGTCATAACATATACATAACGACAATAACAATACAAATAATCATTATTAAAAAGATGCTGATAACCCAAAAAACAAGGTCTTCGAGTCCAAGTGTTCAGCAAGATAAAACATCTGCATAGCATCAGCCTAGTGTCCACAAACAATTCTGTATGTCCCTACCTGCTGTGTGGCTGCAGATATGTTTTGATGATTTGTGACTGAAAGGTGGAAACTGAACAGTACAAGAGCTTGATTGAAAATACTGCAGGTTGCAGAGATATTGCTAAAAATGTGATAAATCATCATGGGGCTTGTGAGGTGGAACACTTACTGGAGTTAGCCAGGCTGCAGATCAGACCTAAAGCACTGAACTTGACTTCGATCGCCCCGACAGGATCCTCCAACATCTCCTTCAGCATAGTGAGCAACTCAGAGTCCCTAAACGCTTCCTTCATAGACTCTGACACACACACCCACACACACACACACACACACACACACACACACACACACACACACACACACACACACACACACCACACACACACACACACACACCACACACACCACACACACACACACACACACACACACACACACACACACACACACACACACACACACACACACACACACACACACACACACCACACACACCACACACACACACACACACACACACACACACACACTCCACACACACACACACACACACCACACACACACACACACACACACACACAGCACACACACACACACACACACACACACCACACACACACACATATTATTTTTAGTATTGGGCTGATCATAAACCCTGCGTAGCCAAAGGTTAGCTGATCATTACTCCCACACAGCAGCGCACCATTATTCCTCCCCATGTCCCTGAGTTGGAATCAAACAACTTACAGAATAGTTGAGTGACTTAATGTTTAGGGTTCAACAGAGCAGTTCACCACCACAGACCAGGTGGAGCTGAGTGACTACAGCTGCATCAAACTGTTTACACCACATCGTCCGAATGACAATTTCAATATTTATGTATTTACAATGTTCATTATGGCTGGAATAATTTTTTCTTCCTTTTTGCAACAACATACAAAACTATATATTGCATAGTAATGCAATGAAGGTTTTTTGTTGACTTAAAGTGTCTCAAAATGCCTTACCAATGTCAATGGCAGATGCTATTGCCAGGGAAACCAGGGCCTCGTTCTGCATGATGACATGTTCACTTGTTGCCATGGAGATAAGGTGCCGAACCCCATCTGCTTTGGCTACAGCATGGACCACTTCCTGTCAGACAGAGGACATGTTCAGTGCTGCACGGTCATGACGTTAACAGACAGGAATGATGAGCCAGCAGAAAGAGGTCTCACTGCGCTGCGACTGTGTCTGATGAGGGCAGCCAGGAGGCGACTGGACTCCCCCCGGACCCCTGCATGGTCTTTGGCCTCACACCACTCCATGACCCGGGTCAGCAGCACAGCGTCCCTCCCCAGCACCAAAGCTGCCTCCTCTGCAGCACAGCACAGAAAAGAGAAATTAGGATTGAAGACGTCGGTACAGAAGCTGTCAGATTAAAGATAGCAGTGGGGAACCCTTCACTAAGGAAACCGTTTTAATAAGAGTGATTCATATTTGAATTAAATGATCCCCCTGTGGAACTGAATGTTATCAACAAACATGTTGGACTGGACAGAGGGATAAGTGAGAATGTAAATGAATCCAGGGAAAACTGCATAAAATAGAAAAACTGGAAAGGTTATTCTGTTCTGGGTGGGACACAGTGGCGGCGCCAGAGATTTTCTCTAGGGGGTGCTGTGGGGTAGCTTGACGTTTCATAGAGGGTGCTCAAAAAATTAAGGGTTTCCCATTAATGCACCAGCACTACAGTTGAATTTTCTACTGCAACACTCCCCACGCACACACACAGTGTACCCGCGACTGTTACAATGAAGGCTCGGTAATCAGCTCACGGCATATAGGTGTAAGCAGGGGTAAAGTGCTATTTTTACAAGTGGGGAGTGGACCTCACCTCCTCTAGGAGGGTCCTCACCTTCTTCTAAGATTTTTTTTTAAATATTGAAGTTAAAAGCATCAATCTGGTGCACTTTGAGAGCAAAATGAAGAGATCTATGGATATACTGTATCTCTCAACATACATATGAAACAGAACTGTAAACAGATTTTCTATTTCTTTATAGATATTTTACAACTCCCCTTTTAAAACAAACCGTTTGAGACCCACTGAGATAACTAGACTAAAGTTAACTATCTAAACACTGAGAGTCCTTTACTTCACCTGAGCTGAGGTTATCTGAGACTCTCAGTCTGACAGGAGATAGTTCTCCCTCCACCTTGTTGTTGAAAAAGCTCCTTATATCCGTTAGCTTGGCTAGCTAGCACCAGATGCTAACCACAACGATCTCCGGTAGATACCCACCGGTGCGTGAGCTCTCTCGCTCGCTTGCGCACGCACACAAAATGGCTCGTGCCACACACACAGAGCAGAGCTTGAATGAAACACAGAGACCCAGAAGTAAGCTACTTGTACTCACGAGGCTATTATGTGCAGAATCCCTCTCGCTTTCAGGTGGTTTTGATTGAGTGTCCACACGTGGACGTTTAAGGACTAAAAAACGATCCATTTGTCACTTTGCTGTTAGCAAATAATGTGGGGCTCCAGCTAACAGGAAGTCACTCAAGTGTCTCAAAGTCATTTAGCCTATGGGTAGGTCACAAATCTAATGGGTGCTGGCCATTGGCCTAATCATATCACCTGTGTTGGCTTTATGTTTTTGGTCAAACATTTGTTTGTTTCATATTTGCATTGATGTAATCAATAATATTTCTGATTTAATTTAATAAAAATAATAATAATTTTCGGGAAAAAAAAAACAAAACACATTTCTTGGGGGTGCTTAGGGGGTGCTTTGGCCCTGGTGGAACGCCTCATATGGGGAATAAAGGACAAATGATCATAATCCCTGTTATTCTTTCTTTTACATTCTTCTTCCTTTCAGTCTAGTTTCCTCCTCAGACAGATCAAACCATGCTCATTTTTGTTTGATAGTTATTGCCTCACTGTTTGTTTGTCTGTTCATTTGTCTATTGTACAAATGTGTCTGTTAGGCACCTGAGGAATACATCAAGGTTCATTCTGTGGAACATGGTACTCATGCATTATGTCTGTTACATCGAAACATTCCCTGTGTGTAACTATAAAGTGCTGTGCTAACCATGTCCGTCCACCATCATGCGCAGTGTCCCCAGCAGTTTGAACTGCACCGGCGGCATGTCGGAGCGCAGCAGGCTCTTTATCCTCTCCGTCACCCCGTCCTCCAGCATCCGCACTTTGTTAGTGGCTGCAGACACAGAGCATCCTGTCAGTTGAAGTGTCACAGCAGCGTACATACTGTTTCCTTTGATCAGTACCAGGAATGGCCAGGTTTCTGAGCGCGCTCAGTCCGGCGTGTTGAACAGACACATCTCCTTCGTCCACATGTTGCTCCAACAAGGTCAGGATGTGAGGAACCACCCCAAGGTCCAGCATCTTCACACAGTTACTATCTGAGAAAACACAGCAGGCCAACACACATGTTCTGTATTACAGCACATATACATTTCAAAACTCTCACACAGGCACTAATATGCTTGACAATAAACATTGTATTATTTAAAAATAACAAGACATTTTTTTCAAGAAGATTTTAGATCTGAGATCTAAAACAACCGTTTTTTGGCCACTTGGTGGCAGAAAAAACAAGCAATAAACTAAACTCTGAAACACCATCAGCTGTTAATACACACACATCATACTTTGATTTGGTGCACTTTGGTGCACACGTTCACCAGTGTGCTGCCTGCTGTTGAGCAAGCAGTGTACTTTTCCACTGAAGAAAGGTGTCTGCGGCTGCTGGAAATGACACTTTGAGTGTGGTGACGTGGAAAGAGTGGAGTGCCGTAGAAAAACAAACCATGAAGTGAAAGGAGCTAAAAGGGTTAGCAGAGCTGCAGAGTTAGAGAACATTCTCTTTGGGTTTGCTGTCCGTGCTTTTCTGATTCTGTTATAAACTTGGTCATTGCAACTTTCAAGAAAATTGCTGTGTAATCTGTGGGTATGTTTTGCTTGATTGACAATTGTGGATTCATAACCACATGGGTGATCTTTCCTGAAAAATGTCTCACCATTTCTGGCAAAGTTGGCGATGGCCAGGGCTCCGGAGAGTTGCAGCTGTGTGTTGGAGCTCTGCAGCCAGGACAGAACATCCTGATACACCACACCAGAGCCCTCCCCAAAACACTTCTGCATGGACTCATCTGACACACACACACACACACACACACACACACACACACACACACACACACACACACACACACACACACACACACACACACACACACACACACACACACACACACCACACACACACACACACACACACACACACACACACACACACACACACACACACACACACCACACACACACACACACACACAACACACACACACACACACACACACACACACACACACACACACACACACACACACACACACACACACACACACACACACACACACATATCAAACATTACATCATCTCAACACTTTGATCAGCAGAAAGAGGCTTCAGTCAGAACGACAAAAGAGGGAAACAGGTGTCTACACTGAGACAGTGGTTGCTACACAGATGTTCAGGTGTAACATCAGCATTGCTCACCTCCTAACAGCAGAGACACGATGAGGTTGGAGGCGATCTTGATGCTGCAGAGGTCGTGGGGGTCAGATCCTCCCTGCAGACTCCGAATCATCTCTGATAAGGCCTCTGGTACTCCTGACTCTGCAAACTGCAGCTTCAGTGTATCTGGGGGTCCAGCGCAGTTTAATTGATCATTAGTAACAGCTTACAATATCTTCCAAAATAGGTACAACATCTTTACAAAACAAAAGACAGCCCCAGGTGGTAGATGGTCCTTAGCATTACCTTATGATGGAAACCCGGACATTATAAAACACACAGCCCTTGACAAAAATGAGTAACCATGCTAATGCCGCACTGGGGAAGATTATTTTGAAATCTGTATGTCGATTCTGTGGAACTAGTCTCATCAAAGGGGGGATTTGGCAATAGCACAGTTCCAGCACGACAGCTGATTGTCCAGTTAGTACAATCAATGTGATCACTGATTGATTGGTTGTATTGCCCACAACAGCCTGACAAACACACCCCAATTCTGATGGCTCATGGTAAAGCCTGACTTTATTAAAAGCTTCTTTGAGAGGTTTAGAAATGGTTCTAGAAAGAAATATCAAATCAATATTTCCCAAGCCTTCTTCCTGAAGCAACCTTGAGCTCTTACCACTCTCGCCCAGAGCCCCCAGTATTTCCAGGATGACATGTCGGCGCTCAGCGTCAGGCGCCCGTTTCAGCTGGAAGGTCAGCACCTCTGCCATGCCTTGCTCTGCCAGGGCCTCCCTCGCTGAGTCTGCAAACACACAGCTCTACACATATGACAGTGTGCAGGCACCTGGTCATCCTGACCACCACTGATAGCCATCGTACATCTGCAGCTTTTACAAATGGTTATTATTCTGGCTTAGTATTTAATTCTAGTTCCATGTGACAGGAAGTTAGTTATTAGTTATAGTTAGTAATTCTGAAGTGTTGTGCTCCAGTGAAGCTGATGTCTGTTCGTCCTGTGCCATCCTTCGTTCGTAGCCCTTGAGAAGGCCTTACGTGTAAGTTCTTATGTTGTGACATTATATTTCTTTACTTTGAGTGCATTCTTGTGATTAGATGCAGCGAGTTATAGAGATTGAGCACGTTTAATTTCATACATGTGTTCTAGCATCTACAGTATGTATGTTGCCATTTATTTTAAGTATTCATATCTCAGTTCAATGCAATGACGTATATTGTGTTTGCATATTCATATTTCATATGTTGTGACCAGTTATCTGAGCTAACATGTGTGTAGTTGTTTATGTAGCCGAGATAATAAAGGTTTGAAATGAAATTGGCCTAATGTCATGCTGTCCTTGTGTATAGATATGTATGTGTTGTTATTGAGTCATGTAAGTGATATTGACAAGTAGCCTACTTTTGTTTGTGTATTTTTCAGTTTCACACAAAAAAATACACAAACAACAACTTGTTGACATCATGGTCCTGAGATGTACTGTATGGAGGTGTTTATGTTGCTGGATAACTGAGAATGGGAGTTCAGTGAGGCCAGTATAGTTATTAAGGAATTCATTGAAGTTGTTATATAACAGTGTTGGCTTCCTTTTTGTGCCATAAGAACGTAAGCTGTATAAGCTCTGGCTCATTGCTTTTCCTCTCCTCTCCTTGAGAAAATTACAGATTTGTCTGTTTGGTATTTTTTCTCACAAACAGCATTTCTTGGACCTGTTTACTTACAAGTAGTCTGTGTTTTATTTGACAAGGAGAAGCTAGGAGAGCATGGAGAACATTTAAACATAACTCAGAGATAACCCTTAAGCTGTAGAGCATGTCTAAATTACTTACAAATCCATCCATCTTCTATCTCTTACCCGAGTCGGGTCGCAGAAGTAGCAGTTCCAGTAGAGGGCACCAAACTTCCCTTTCCCTGGCAACATCAACCAGCTCAGACTGGTTGATAGTTTACAAATCATGTTTAACTAATAATAAATGACTGACAAAAAACAGTTACTAAATAATCACCCATGTCTGCCAGGTTACAGAGGGCCAGCAGGCAGACGTTGACCAGGGGGTCGTTCTCCGGATACTGCCTGATGATGGACACCAGTCTGGGGATGACCCCGCTCTGCACCAGCTGGTCCTGCTGGAATGCTGGGCCAAAGAGAGGCAGTGAGTTTACTTCCCTTTAACTTCAAGCTCATGATTTCATCTCATGGTCTCAAGGTTTGCTCTACCTTATATGGAAATGATAACTGAGTATAAATCTGTGTAAAAGATAGAAAAATAAAAGATAATTTCACGTTTGGTAATCATATATATAGTAGTTTCACCTTAACTGTCACTAGTGGTGGAAAAGTAACTGCATTTACTCAAGTATTATAAGCAGCCAGTTGTTAGCGGAGTATTAATAAAATGGGTAAGAAATGGAAGGATGTCTGGAGCAGTAGACTGTGAGAGGGGAGGGGGTCCAGAGGCAGGTGAACCTCATTGTTAGACTATGGATGGGAGATGTGGAAGGTGAGCAGGAAGTGTCAGTGGGTAAGTTGGGAAATTAAGAGCACCAACTTCCTGAAGACAAATATTGACGGTCTAATAAAACCAATTACTATGCTAGTAAATCAATCTATCAGCACGAGGGAAGTTCCATCATCCTGGAAGGTGGCCACGGTGACACCGATATTTAAATCTGGGGATAAGGCAATGATGTCCAATTACAGACCAATCAGCATCCTCCCCTGTGTCTCTAAGGTAGCTGAGAAATGGGTGTCAAAACTAATCACCAAACACTTAGATAAAGGTTTCGCTCCACTCCACCCAATGCAGTTTGCTTTTCGTGCTCACCACTCCACTGAGACAGCTAACTGTGTCTTTGTGGAAAAGGTTAAATGTATGTTGGACATGAGCCCATATGTAGGTGCTGTCTTCCTTGATCTCAGGAAGGCTTTTGACTGTTAACCACCAAGTGCTCCTTACAAAGCTGACATATTTCAATTTTTCGGCAGATTCAATACAGTGGGTTAAGTCTTACTTATCGAACAGAAAACAGTGTGTTTTGGTCAACGGAGCCAAATCCCCCTACCTTGTGAACCCTGTTGGGGTTCCACAAGGTTCCATTCTTGGACCATTACTGTTTTCACTGTACATTAATGACTTGCCTAATGTATGTCCTGAGTTGAATGTGCAAATGTATGCTGATGACGCGGTCATCTTTGTACACGGGAAGAACACTAAAATGATCTCATGTTGTCTCTCAAAAGCTTTGGACAAGGTTCAACACTGGCTGAACAACATTTGCTTACTGTTAAATGCAAAAAAAACAGTATGCATGATGTTCAGTAAACGACCAGTCAAAATCGAAGGATCCAATGTGTTTTTAAACGGAGCAGAAATAGAACTAGTCTCCCACTTCAAGTATCTTGGAGTCATACTGGATTCGAACTTGACTTTTAAGAAACATATTAAGAAAGTATCCAATACCGTTAAATTCAACTTGCAACATTTTAAACAAATTAGACCTTTCGTAAGACAGAATACCAAGATGGCTGATGGTGTGTGTCGTGGCTCGGTAGCTCCTGGTTCAAACCACCGGCCTCGACTACAACCTACAATATACAAGACTGTGAACGGCCTAGTTATTGTAGAAGATGAGTTACTTAACTTCCTGGCGGTTAAAATTAAAACTATGACCCAGGATGAGCTAGTCCAGTTGTTCTCAAACTTTTTCTGTCAGGCCCCCCCTTTGGAGAAAAAAATAAGTCGGGGCCCCCCCAACACAAGTCAGGCTCAGTGGCGGCGCCAGATATTTATTTGGGGTGCTGTGGGGTAGCTTGACGTTTCATAGAGGGTGCTCAAACATTTAGGGTTTCCCATTAATGTACCGGGCGCTACAGTGGAATTTTCTACTGCAACACTCCCCACGCAAATACACAGTGTGACAGCAGTAGCGTGGCGTGGGGAAAAATGTAGGGGAAGCCCATTTTTTGGGTCGGGGGGGCGGTCAATAACGTAACCAGATGAGTGATTACAGCGCCCGGTATCATTTTACACACATTTGTATCACACAGATGCAGGACTTGCACACGCCTGTTATCTAACCGACAGGTCCGCACGCACTCTCCAGCTGAAACTCTCTTCTTATTAATTTAAGCATTTTACTTATTAATGTATGCAGACAATCACACCATCTATGTGATTTTTGGATTTACCGTGCCTCTCAATTGCCCGTGACAGGTTGGCAAGGTCGATGAATCCTGAAGTTGCCCAAGGATTGTTCAGGGAGCACGAATCCTTGTCAAAAAGAAGACATGGCCAGCCAAATAGACGCTGAAGTTTAGCGCTTCCAGTTAGCCACTCTGTGCGGACATAATTGTCCTCATTGAACGTCCGATTCTCTCCCTTTTTCCTCTGTGTACACACAGCTGGAGTGCGGGCATTGGCCTGTCATCTGATTTAATTTTCAGTTGCTGCTGTAGCGGAAGTTTAGTAAAATTATGTTTGATTAAGTACGCCAAATCTCCACCCTCCATAATGCTTCATTTGCTTGATAATTTCTAACGGCGGTGATGACAGTTACAGTATTAAAACTGATGTTGATGTGATTTGATTGGATGGCAGTGTCCAATCAAATCGCCAGCCGCCAGCCGCCCCTGAAGGGAAGCTAGAGGCGGCTGGCTTCCCTTGGCATGGCCCTGACCAATCACAGGTTGGCAGGGGCATCACGTGGGCCTCATCTGATTGGTCAATCCCTCCATTTTTTTCACTAAAGGAAGCCAGATTCGGCTGGCCTCCTCTCGCAACAGAGAGTGCAATCTACTGTTTCACCATAACATCTAGAGGGGCGCTGTTTCACTCTTTGTAAAGTACTCAATGAGAATGGGGGAGAGCCGGCCGGCAGCAACACACAGCAAAGGAGAATTATCGAAACAAAACAAAGTGTTTTTATTTATTTATTTAAATTATAACTACAATCCGAAAAAACAGGGGAAGCCTGGCTTCCCTTGGCCTCCGGGAGAAAACGCCACTGTGTGACAGTTACAATGAAGGCTCGCCGCATTTAGGTGTAAGCAGGGGTAAAGCGCTATTTTTATAGGTGGTGTGTGGACCTCACATAGGGGGGTCCG